TCAAGGACAATGACTATTGTCTTATTTTGGCATTCTCAGAGTCTATACTAAGAAGATGTATTTAGTGTGGAAAGTTTATTTTGGCTCTGAGGTAGGTAGATATGTCTAGAAAATATAGTTGTAAAATAACCTGAGGATAAATAATGAATTACTTTAAGGGCTTATGTCCTTTTTAAATATAATACACAAATGTGACGGAATGTTTTAATATGCTTAGATAGAAGCTGGTCCTAATTAGTAAATACTTAGAAAAAAAATTGACTACAATTATTGTTTATATTAAAGCCAGATGGCCCTAGCTGGTTTGGCTTAGTGGATAGAGCATCCGCCTACAGATTGAAGGGTCCTGGGTTGAATTCTGGTCAAGGATACATGCCTTGATCCCCAAGGTGGGGTTGTGCAGGAGGCAGCCAATCAATGATTCTCTCTCATCATTGATGTTTTTATCTCCCTCTCCCTTTCTGAAATCAATAAAAAAATATTTTAAAAAAAGCCAGATTAAATGTCACACTTAGAAACGAAATATTTAAATAATATTTTCAGTTCAATTAAATAAATACACAAAACAAACTTTAAAACTTGTTACACAATATGTGATACATTTATTTATAGCAGACTCAAATATGAAATGGGAGTAATAATGGTACTTACCTTATAGAGTTGTTATAAGGATTATGTAAATTAATTTATATAATGTGCTTACAACAGCACCTTCATATAATAAGCACTTAATGAATGTTAGTGGCTATTATTATTAAGTAAATATTTGTGTCATTATTTACTATTGTTGCTACTCAGGAGTTTTAGTGATTTATAAACTGAATTTGAACTGTTGCCAAACATTATTTAGATAAGTAAAAAAAGCTTTTTTGAGAATGTTTTTATATTATAATTATAATAATCTGTTGAAGACATTTATATTTAGTTTCCTTTAAAGAAATCAGTTCATGTATTGATACTACAGACAATACTATAAAGTATAGCTATTGTAACAACTGTGAAATTTCTTTAGTGGCTACAATTTCATGCATAGTTAGTTTAACTTTCATTTCATTCTTCTATGTTTTACACACTAATAGCATTTTATTTCTGATAGGCTAAAGCTTAAAATTTGCTACTATCTTGAATAATGCTATTTAAGCTGACTTTTTAAATTACTTTTTTGTTAAAGTATATTTTATTGATTTTCCACAGAGAGGAAGGGAGAGAGATAGAGAGCTAGAAACGTCGATGAGAGAGAAACATCGACCAGCTGCCTCTTGCACACCCCTTATCGGGGATCTGCCCGCAACCAATGTACATGCCCTTGACTGGAATCGAACCTGGGACCTTTCAGTCCGCAGACCGACGCTCTACCACTGAGCCAAACCAGTTTCGGCTAAATTACTCTTTTTAAAAAAAGTAAATATTTTATTGTTTTTTTACAGAGAGGAAGGGAGAGGGATAGAGAGCTAGAAACATTGATGAGAGAGAAACATCGACCAGCTGCTTCCTGCACATCCTCCACTAGAGGTGTGCCTGCAACTCATGTACATGCCCTTGACAGGAATTGAACCTGGGGCCCTTCAGTTAGCAGGCTGATGCTCTATCCACTGAGCCAAACCGGTTTTGACCTAAATTACTCTTAAAGTGGCTACAGAATTTCCAAGTAAACTGAAAGTAACTAAATGTTTTAATTCTTTTACCAGAATTGAGAAAAGTTACATGACTTATTTTTAAAACTTTTTTTATTGTTGAAAGTATTACAGATGTTCGCCCTCCCTATTCCCCCTAGTGAGTCACCCCCCAAAAAAGTTATCTGATAATTTTAAATAAGTAGTAGTGAAAGAATTACATCAACAAAATGAACTATAAATGCTGACCTCCAGAGAGCCAATCTGGTGTTTTCCATTTAACTCATTTAATTTTTTACGGTTACTATTAACATTTTCAAGGTGAGAGGCAAAACAATGTAGAGGGTTAAAAGCTTGGGGCTTTAAAATCAAATATACTTGAGATAAAGCAAAGTTGTGGTACCCAATTTGTTGGGTAACTTTGGGAAGATTATACCCTAGTTTTCTCTTCTGCTATATAGAGACTAGAGGCCTGGTGCACGAAATTCATGAATGGGTAGGGTCCCTAAGCTTGGCCAGTGATCAGGGTCAATCAGGGCCTTCTGGCTGCTGGCCAGCGCCCCCTGGTGGTTAGTGCATGTCATAGCAAGCAATTAAACTCCTGGTCAAACTCCTGAGGAAACACTTTGCATATTAGCCTTTTATATATATAGATAATAGTATTTACCTTATTGTGAGGATTAAGTAGGTAACATTTCAGCACATACCCAAGGTAAGAGAAACACTCAAAAATGAGATAATGTAATTATTACAATAAAAATGAAAATCCTGAAATATTTGCTGGCTAGAAGTCACAAAACTAGTAAGCAAGGAAGCTGAGATAAAAATAGAACTCTTCAAAAACTCTTATAAAAGGAGAGAAAAGGATAAACTTCCACTGAACGATCCACATGATAATATTACCTTTGTACTCCCTGGCTTGCTTAGAGTGCAGGTAAATGTGAAGGCAAAATATGATACACATAGAAAATGGGAATGCTACTATATAAAGCTGACCAATTAGCATTAGTCTAACTCCAACTAGGTAACAGGATGAGAAATGGAGAGGATCTGACTATATTCTTAAAATTATTTTATGCACTATGTATTTAGGTCCATTTATTTGAATCTAATGAATTATAACAATTATTGAGAATAATTTTATTATGTTTTAGTATTACCTATAAAGTAGATTTTTAAGTGAAAAAATTAAGAAAAAGCCCTATGGCAAATACCTGAACTGCTAGGCTATTCTCCAGAACCAGTTATGGTGTAATTTGGGGATCTGTAGCCTAGGCTTCTAGTGGTATTCTGGGAATAAGACCAAGATGTTCCAAAATTCAAATAAAAGAAATCTCTTCTCAATCTGTAGAGTTAAAAAAACAACAACACTTTTATGTTTTTCTTTTCTAAAGCCCTCTTAAATCTCTGAAATCTGCTTATCAAGTGTTAGATTAAAAATACTATTGAGAAAGGGCAATAAGGAAAAACAACTTTTATATGCACTTAGCTTATAGTTTAGGCACATTTGATTTCAGTCAAAGGGCAGAACCTCTCAACTGACTTTTAATTATAAGAGAGTATGTGTCATAAAAATTATTTATTATAGAATACCCCTTGTTATTCAATCCTTGCCTTGAAGTTTTGTGTCTTAAGAAATAATAACTGTTGGTTGAACAGTGCACAGACCTTGAAAAATCATAGAATAATAGCTTAAAGATGAGAGGATGACTTATACAGATTCATTTAGCAATTTATCCCATCAAACACAAAACAAAAAAAACACCACCACCAAAAAACACCTACAAAAATACAAAATAAAAACAAACAAAAAACAAACAAACAAACAAAAAAATAAGGGGAAAGGATCCTACTAAACTAAGTCCCATGTAAACTTGTTTAAATTTTATTTTCAGGCAAAACGACTAACATATTATGGAAATCTCCTAAACATTAAACTATATCATTGGTATATTTGAAACAGAAAATGAAAAACATGAAGACTTGAAAGCCAATTTTGGAACACTGGAAATTTCAGGATGACAACCAAGAAATCAAGTATGAAATTATGGTTGAATATTAACATTTTTAAAACTTTTCTGCTTTTTTTTTTTTTAGAACTATAAAACTGTACTTAGTGTTAGAAATAAACTTTTACTACGTAGTAATGAGAAGATACTATTACTGTCTGAAAGCTTTACAAACCATTACATCCTTAAGTGTATATTAACACCTCACTATGTAGAAGTGAAAGAATATTAAAATGAAACATAGAGACACCACCATTATTTTACTCATCTGAATAATATAAGTAATCTTTTCAGGGTTTTTTGAAATTTAAAGAAATTTAAAAACTATAATAAAAAAGATGTAACAATTAATAAAGTTTTTTAATTTACTAAAATATATGTTAAGTTCACTGTATATTTTCCATGAATGAGGCTGTTGAACTAATGATTTACATAGACTAAGAATTACTATCTTGTCTAGAAACATTAAACTGGGCAGCCCTCATGAAGATGTCATCTTGGATAATGAGCACTACTTTGTATGTTAGATAATGCTTGTACATTTACACTTATTTCTGTATAGTGGCACATCTGGCCTTATGGAGTGGCTATTAAGGCATAATACTTCAGTGTTAAGTTCTTTACATGTATATTTAGGACCATTCCTTTGCAAAATGTGAGTATATGGCTGTATGCATACCTTCTTATAGTGAACCTATACATTGTGAAGAAGTAGTTAACTTTGACGCTTGGAAAACAGAAGTGATAACCTGATTTACTTTTGTAAAAATTTAGGATATTTTAAGTAAATGTGTGTCCAATAACATTTAAAAATTAAGGAAGTGAACTATTAATTTCAACAGTGGGTAAAAACAGAGCAGATTTTATTAGAGCTACCTAATCTTGGTGTTAAAGGTGAGATTGTGCCTGGAAATACTAGCAATATGTGAGTAATTTAACGGATCATATTCTTTGTTAACCAGATTAAAAATTGTAATTTCTTTTCTATAATTTTGTGCCATTTAATGGGTGTTTTGTTTTCATCCCAAATTTCATTATAAAATTGATTTTTTAAAGAAAAGCATCTGATCAATTATTTCTTTGACTTCATGTGGCCATCTTTTGGAAAGAATGCAGAGCTTCAGTATCCAAGCATCCTATAGTAATTCTGCTCCCCCTCTGCAAGACAACATGATAGCATGGGGTCTTGGCATGTAATCGTACTTCTCCTTCCTGTTTGTTTTGATCTAATGAGACAGGAAAGAATTCCACTTGAGTTTCTAAAACTACAAAGTGTAGAAGCTGGAGACTTCTTTATATACAGTATATTTAAGTTGATTTAGTATTTTACCTTAACTTAACTAAAACATCTAATGGGAGAGATACTAGAAAACAGTACCTTTTTGGTTTCAAATTGCGCTTCTTCCTGACAGCATCCCCTACAGTCAGGATCCAGCTGAAGCAGGTTGAACTGTCCAAGAAGATCACAGGAGCTGCAGAGCAAGTTGCTGGAGAAGCCTAACTCTCTGCAAGCCTCTGATGAAAACTCTGCCCCGAAGGCAAATACCTAAAAATAAAAATGGAAATAAAACTTAACTCCATATTTACATTACAAAATTTCCCAAAAGATACTCCATAACATTATATGAGTCTTTGTTCCCCCCTACTCATCCCCTATAACTTTTCTTTTCTTAAAAATGTGTCGCATTCACATTTAGATAAAATATGGATTAAAAGATATATTACCTCTTTAGATATGTATATTGCATATAATAGCTTTTAATAAATATTCAATAGTTTTAAAAAACAAATACCTGTTTATATGGGTCTATGGAGTAACATAAACTTCTATTTTGGTCCCTACCACATCCTACAGAATTATCTTCACTCACATGTAGGAGAGGAAGAGTGGAAAGGGGAGTGGGAAAGAACAGGAGCACATCAGAAATAAAACTTTGGAGTTTAGGTACTAACTCCCCTACTTTACAAAATGTGTGACAATGGACACAACAACCTCTCTAAGCATTAATTTTCTTACTGATAAAGCAAAGAGCAGAACTTCCTACATAAAATAGTTTGCAGTTAAAAAATGAAATGACTGCCGAAACCGGTTTGGCTCAGTGGTAGAGCGTCGGTCTGCGGACTGAAAGGTCCCAGGTTCGACTCTGGTCAAGGGCATGTATATTGGTTTCGGACACATCTTCGGTGGGAGGTGTGTGAGAGGCAGCTGGTCAATGTTTCTCTCTCATAGATGTTTCTAGCTCTCTATCCCTCTCCCTTCCTCTCTATAAAAAAATCAATAAAATATAAAAAAAATGAAATGACTTATGTAATCCATCAGAATGACTGGCAAAAGTGGGTTTTTAAAAATATTAGTCCGTTTCCCTCACCCATTCTTCTTTCATGTTTCAGTGAATGGAGCACACTAGTACTTGTATCTCCAAACTCAATCCCTCTACCTGTGCTTCAGATTCTAGCCTCTGCCATCTTCATAGGGACTTAATTTTACCAGTAATGATAATTCTTTGGTGTATTCAAGCCTTACATTCTAATTGCTCTCCCCACATCCCACCATTTCTACAATGTTATTCTAGTCTGGTTATTGATTTTACCACTCGATTAAACTTGCCCAAAATCACTAATGCAAAGGCATTCAAAACTGTTCTCCTCCAGTTGCATCTTCCATGGGCTTGTCCCTCTCCTCCTTCCTCTTCTATGCATTTCTTAAATGTTACTGTTTGCCATTTCTATCTTTTGTTCTGTCTTTGGTGTATATACTTCCACAAGCAACTTTTCCTCCTCCATGGCTTTAAATACTGATTTACTGAAAACTCCCAAGTCTTTTTTTTGAATGGCAAGCTTCCAACATCAACAGCTTACTTGATGTCTCATTAGATGTTGCAAAAGGCACTGCAAATTAAAAAACTCCAACAGTGAAAAAACATACAAAAAACAAAGCAACTCCCTCGCCCCAATATCTAACAGTGAAACTTACCCTTTTCTCCTTAAATCTATTCCTACCCAATGTAATTCAGTAAAAATGGTACCATTTTCCCTGACCAGGAAGTTGCCCAGGTCAGTCATTCCAGATTGCACACTTTTCACCATTCTTACAATTAGTTAACACATTTTGGTAATTTTGTTTCTTATAGAGGTCTCCAATCTTTTCCTGCTTTTAAATGGTCACTGACAGTTGTACCTCTAATTACTTCTCCAATCCCATTACACTTATCAGCTATAATGAATTCCTCAAATGAATAATCATGCGATCGTACTACTTGATTTATTCTTACATTTATTAGCACCTCAGTAAATGCTCAATAAATGTAAGAATATACAAAACATGAATATACAAAACATGTGTTGAAGTCTGACAACATCTTGATTTAAATCCAGCACAGAGCAACCTTACTTTTGAGTTTCTCAATAGGAATCTCAGAGTTCTGACAAGGAAAAGAGAAAAAGCACAGAGTGGGTACTTATAAATGTTAGCATTATTCCCACCTTCCACAGTAAGAGTATATTTAATAACTACAAATCAGTACTTATAGATTGATAAAAGCAATTGTTCTCTGCACTGAAGGGTTGTGGGTTCAATTCCAGGTCAGGATGAGTCCTGGAGGCAGCCAATTGATTCATTTTCTCTCTCTTCCTTCCTCTTTCTGTAGAATCAATGAAAAACATCCACAAGTGAGAGTAAGAAAAAACCTATTTATGTTTTAATCATTATTTAGACATAGGATAGAGGATAAGCGTATGGGAGATACAATGTATCTTGAGTTTCATGAGTGAAAATTCTTTTCTGGTTCTTCTACCATTGGTTTGGCAAATTCAAGCTTTGAATTTGAGGACATTAGAACATATTTTTAAGCACTTCAAGATAAACACTAAGTGCTAAAAATATAGAAGAGGAGTACAAAATTATGCCTACTTATCTTTTTATTACCAAAAAGTAACTAAACTGCATTAAATTGAGGTCAAATATTAAATTTTAAAATAAGTAGCCACACCTATAAAAAAGCAGTAGATTCTAAGGATAAGGTAGGATAACCCTGATTGGGTTAACCATTTAACCAGTTAACAGCCACGATATTTTGAATTAAAAAAAGGTCCACCGCTTGCGTCTATAGATGCTCATGGCATACAAATGGCTAACAGTTTTAACTTTTCTCAATTCAAAGTAGGATTGACATGTTAAGAGACTCCATTCTCTCCTCCATGCATTGTACATTGCTTACTGGCCTTTACTCTATGAAAAATAATGGGCTTCTCACACTATTTCAAAAAGATTGCAAATTTGAGACTAAATAAATGAACCCCATGAAAATGAATACAAGAAACATGAAGCTCTTACAGCATTTATTAAGTACTTCATATCATCATTTTATTTAATCTTAACTACCCTAAGAAGAAGGTATTATCTCCATTTTAAAGAGAAGTGAACAGAGGCTTAGGACAGTTAAAATAATTTGTCTAAAACAACACAGCAAACAATAGGTGGCAGCATCAAGAGTCTAATCCTGGCCTGCCTGCAAAACCCTTAACCACTGTTATTAACTAGTATGTTTCCCAGAATCCATGTTGCACCATTACTGCATGGACCATTAAGAATAACAGCAAAAATGCTGACAATTATAACTGTGTTACCCACTGAAATAAGACTGATCCAGATGTTAACTTTTGAAGAAAAGGAGTGGGGGTTGTGTCAGAACCATTGTCACACAGTATCATCTATACTGCTGTCAGCACAGTGCCTTTACAAATGTAGAAAATTACACATGAGCTGAATGAAGAATTGAATACCACTTAGTTCTGGGGCACCCTAGAAACAGCTCCCTCAGGCCATACTAAAATACTACTTTTCTACTGCTTAATCATCCTCAGAATGTATTTTCATATTAAATCACTTTCTAGTCTCCCAGTTGTAATCTCATTGAAATGCTGATAACCACGACTGTTTTAAATTAGAGCTCTTCAGAGGCATAGACAGTGATAAAAACTCAACTTGTCTAGTGTAAGGACTCAGAGGTGTGAATTAAAGTAGGAACTAAATTCTCTATTCATTTCATTAACACAACCTCAAGGAGCTGAGATATTCTTATTCTCTTTTTATTCAATGTCAGGTTTCAGATATTTAGTTCATTTTTATTACTGAAAACTACTTACTCCCCCTGGCCTTTTGCACGCCCTCAGGCTAAATGTGAAATGCAGTTTTTCTAACTTCTAAGTGTTTTTCAACAATCCTCTACACACACCTCCCTTTTCATTTTCAAGGATTCTATTGCCATCTTTTCTTAGAAACACTAGTCATTAAAGAAAAAACAGGAATAAATCTTAGGGAAGTCAAAACAGTTCAACAAGGGGGGACTGCTCAGGACTCCCTTTGAATTTTCAGTCATTTGTATTCGTAGGAGTTGGGAATCATTACCACTCTACACTCACTGCTCTACACAAACTACAGATATCTTGATGACTTTAAAAGCAAGGAACAAATAACTAGGAAGCTAGTCATATTTCAGAGGGATTTCAATGAACAAGTACATGTGAGGCACTACATAAAACAGTTCCTGTATTCCCTTCAGCTACATTCTAATTACCGTGGGAGCAGAGGCAGTGGAGTACAGACACATACACAGAGCCATATGGTGCAGTTAAGATTGGGGCTCTGTGTAATACAGCATCAAGTTTGATGACAGAGGAAAGAGTACTGTATATCTATCTGCTTTTGCAAATCTAGAAATGGATGATATTTTTTAAATGGATGTATTTTTTAAACACCTTACTTTAGGCTCAATCAGGGAGAACACCTCTACATTTTGCACTCCCCAAAGAGGTAAACACTGGGAATTAAGTCTAGTTAGACAAGTATCAGGTCAACAGGCCTTGTTAAGGAAAGTGAAGGAGGACAGACCATCTTAAAAACAATCTGGGAACATGCCTATGCCTTTCCCTTTCTCTCCCCTTACCTCTATAACTTATTTCCTAAGCCCATTTATTCTAGGGATTACTTTTTCTACCTCTAATTTATCCAATAAATGTTCTCTTCCCTCTTCCTCCCCCCATCTTCCCCCCCCCCCCCCCCAAAAGGCAGCAGAGAGCCATTGAAGAATTTTAATAAGGATAGCTAAGTTCCAGAAAGATGACTTTGGATGCATTGCGGATACTGGATTGAAAAGGGAGGAAAGAGATGGGGAGACCAGTTAAGAAAGCTGGTGTGGCAATTCCAGGCGAGCAGAGATGGTGGCTTGAATTTAGGTAATACTTTAACTGGAGAATGGATTAAGTGGATTGACTTGGAGATTTAAAAAAAATATATTTTATTGATTTTTCACAGAGAGAAAGAGAGAGGGATAGAGAGTTAGAAACATCGATGAGAGAGAATCATCGATCAGTTGCCTCTTGCACACCCCCTACTGGGGATGTGCCTGCAACCAAGGTACATGCCCTTGACCGGAATCGAACCTGGGACCTTTCAGTCCGCAGGCCGAAGCTCTATCCACTGAGCCAAACCGGTTTCGGTGGCTTGGAGATTTTTAAGTGTTTGATGATTAACTGAATTCAGAAGGTGAGAAAAGAATTTTTTAAAAAAATATATTTTTATTGATTCCAGAGAGGAAGGGAGGAGAGAGAAAGAGAGAAACATCAATGATGAGAGATGTGAAGGAAAAGAGCCACATGCTAACCTGACAAGCTCAGGGGAGGCCTGCGTGGCAGTCTTGCAAACTCAGAGACCCAAAATAACCACAAAAGATGGTTTGAAAATTAAATATCTAACTACAAACAGGTTATAGTGGGTAGTCAAGTCCTAGGCTGATATCTCACCTGACAAAGATTAACTTAGATGTTCTTTACTGAGCCCATCTGCCTTCCAGCCTCTAAGATAACATATCTGTGAGATGTCTGGGTAACTTGTAACTTCCCTTTTTCTGGAGCCCCTGGGGCACAACCAAATGTGGTGGGCACCAGGACAGATGCCTCAAATTCCTTCGTTATCATGTTAATTATTCCTGCTCTCACCTAAGTCCATCATTTTACTTTTTATCCAATTCCAGGAGTTTCCCACCGCTTTGCTTTCTCCCGCCTCCTTATTCCTCACCAATGAATTTCATGTAACCCACCTATGTTCCTCCTTTGATTTCAGTGTATAAATAGAAATGTAACCCTGCCATTCTTGGAGCATTATCTCAACCCGTTGAGGTTCTGCTTCCCGGCATATGTGGTCATATGTCGACAGTTTGGCTCAAATAAACTCACTAAAATTCTTTACAGGTTTCAATGCTTTTTTTTTGTTAACAGAGAGAATCATGAATCAGCTGCCTCTTGCATGCCCCCTACTGGGGATCGAGCCCACAACCTGGGCATGTGCCCTGACTGTGAATGGAACTGTGACCTCCTGGTTCATAGGACCATGCTCAACCATTAAGGCACCCAGGCCAGGCAAGAGAATAATTTAAAATGAGTAGTTTCTGGTTTAAATTCTGATAATTCTAAGAGTGAACCAAAAGGCTATTTCTAAGGAGGGAGATGATGGTAGCCTAAATAAGGGGTTAAGAATAAGTGGATGGATCTGAGAGAAATTTAGTAAATAAAATCAATTACACCCCAGTTTCTGGTTTAAATTCTGTGTGGATGATCACTGTGGTAGATTGTTTAATGGGCATAAATTCCTTTTATCCTGGTATGTACCTTCTCTGCAATGTGACTATGTCACTCCACGCATGGAGAGATGGGAGTCTACTTCCCCATCCTTGAAGTCTAGATGGCTCCTGTGATTTGCTTTGACAAATATCATGACGTGAAGTGATTTCCAAGGCTAGGCTTTAGGGCGCATTGCAGCTTTTGCTCTTTAGGAGTGCTGCCCTGAGACCACTAGGAGAAGAAGTGTCTGGCCTACTGGAGGATGAGAGGGGACAAAGAGGAGAACCAAGTGGCCTCAGCTGACAGTAAGCACCAACTAAAAATGAAGCCATCCCAGATCTTTCAGTCTAGCTGGCTTACTAGCACAGGAAAGCTTGCATAAATGAGGCCAGAGGCAATCAACAAAGGAACTGCTCAGAATCATGAGAAATCATTACTTTAAGCCAGTGTTTCCCAAAGTGTGGTACGCGTACCCCCAGGGGGACGGGAAGTTTCGTGGGGGTACGCGTTGTACCGAAGTTTGGTGGGAATATGCACTGCACCGTGCTTAGCTGCGCCTAATTCTACGTTCTCATGAGTACGAGGGGTACTCAGCATTATGAAAATTATAGAAGGCGTACACATATGTCAAAAGTTTGGGAAACACTGCAAGTTATTACGTTTTGAGAGTATACAGCCTTAGATAATGAAACAGCTAGAGATTGGAAAATAAAGAGAAGGCAGCTTGGAATGTTATTCCTTTTTTAATTTTTGCATGATGATGAACTCAAATCATCTAAGTATTTGCAAAAAAAAAAAAAAAAAGTCTTGATTAGAAAGTTTAGAGAGGGGTTCGCTCTGTAATTTCTAAGGCACCAAAACCTGAATAATGAGCACTGTCATGCTAACTACAAAAGGAAATCATTCACCTCTACCTATGGCTGCAAAAGCAAACAGGCGGAACCCTCACACCCCTCGATAAAAGAAAAGCAGAGGTATTCACTGAGGCCTTCGATGGGCCTTAATTCCCCCAAACCTTGGACAAATCAGTTAACCCAGATCTCCTGGGAAAAACTCAGCAGGCTCGTTAAGAATACGTGAAGAATTAAGCTGATAAAAGAAATGTGTGATCGCAGCACAGTGCCTATTAAAGTGTTCCGCACACAGCAAAACAAGGATTGCAAACTCTTTAGGAGGAATTAACCAATAGTAAGTTGTTCGTGGTGAGTAGGAAAATAAGTAAAAACTAGCCTTTCCTTAAAGAAAGCATCTGCTCTGTTGAAGAAAAATGAAGTTTAAACGAGATGAAGGCTGTCATTTTAGAAAATCCATTAAAAAGTAAGTTATGCTTTAGTATATAGAGTAGCTGCTTTTCTTGCAACAATGTTGCTTAAAACCACACACACACACACACACACACACACACACCCCACCCCTGCAGTGCATCCACGTATGTGAATGTCAGAGAACGAAGATAAAGGCAGCCTATGAATTTAGAGAACACCAAAAATTGAGAGAAAGGAGTACATAGGAAGTGCACCTTGTACCAAAGACTTGCGGGCTTTTCTCTTAAGATTTGGGAATCCTGTCATAAAGAATGGCTTTATTTCCTCCCGTTAACAAGCAATGTTCATTGCTTTGCAAAATTCATTGCCTTTCTTCCCGTTGGTGTGATTTACAGATTTTTTTTTTTTTAAGCAGGAACTCTGCAAGAGAAGATAAATGCTCAAGATAGTCGGAAGCCAGGAGCCAGAACCGTTAGGAGCCCGGCGCCGGGAAGGATAAGCATCAGATGAGGAAACAGCCACGTCGCACTCTGGCCGCAACGGCGGCTAAGGAAGCCCAGTCCTCTCTCCCTTCCCAAGCGTGACTCCCAGATGTGACCCAGGGGCCCGTCCTCCTCGGCGCAGCCTCCCACTCGCCGGGGTGCTGCCGCGAGGTGATCTCCACTCACCGCTTGGAGCACAGCCGCCAACAGCAACCTCAGCCCAAACGCCGGCCCAAGCCATGGGCTCGGCCGAGCCGCCATCGCTACCGCCTCCCCCGTCACCAGCTGCCCAAAGGTCCCCTCAGCCAGGGGAGTCCACCCCAGAGCCTGACTTAAAACAGGCTGCTGAAGAGCGGCTGCCACCAAATCTGTCCGTCTGCAGACAGGGATCGCCCAAGGGCATACGGAAGCTGAAAGGCGATCAAACACCTTTACATTGGATATGCATATAAAACCGTGGGTCCTTTCGCTACCCCCTATCAGGCACTTTCCTAAACTCCCCAAATCTGTGCTTCTAAGCTTTCCTTCCTTTCATTCACGACATTAGCCTAATCAGCCAAGAAGCTCCGCCCCCGTCCGTGTCGGCCAGCCTCCTTCCCCAAATCTACCCAATCGAATGCCGCTTTGCTTGATGCCGCTGGGGTTCCGCGGTCCAATCAGCACAACCTAGCGGGAGCAGAGGGCGGAGCCTCTGGTTGCCAAGCAGCGTACGTGGGTGCGTGCGCCTGGTGGCGGCGGGGGGTGGGCAGGGGGCGGGGCCGGGGGCGGCGCAGCCGCAGCCGCAGCGCTGGCGGAGGAGCGCGCGGCCGCGAGCAAAGGAGGGAGGGAGGGAAGGAAGGAAGGGAGCAAGGTATAGGCAGGCTGGCAGGCAGGCGCGGGGGTCGGTGAGTGAGGCAGCGGAGGGAGGCGAGAGCTCGGCAGCCGCAGCGCGGGCTTTTGGAGCGGGCAGCCGTCGAGTCGCCCGGGAAGAAGCGGGCACCGGCGGCGGCGTCGGTGCTGGCGCCTGGGGGCGGGGGACTGGGAGGCAGCGAGGGGGGTCGCTGCGGTGGTGCTCTCTGCTTGTCGCGCTCTCCTCGCCTTTCCGCCGGCTCGGCGGGCTCCTCCCGGCGTCTTTCCTCGCCTCCGGGGCTGTGCTCCCCGCCCCCCGCGGTATGTCTTGATCCCGAGCGGCGGGTTTCATGGGGCTCCTCAGGATTATGATGCCGCCCAAGTTGCAGCTGCTGGCGGTGGTGGCCTTCGCGGTGGCGATGCTCTTCTTGGAGAACCAGATCCAGAAGCTGGAGGAGTCCCGATCGAAGCTAGGTGAGGAGCAAGCAGAAGCCACTCCGGAGTGAGTGCGCGGTGTGGAAGGGGGGCCGGGCCGGGGAGGCGCTGTAGCCCGAGCAAGCGGGCGTTCGCCTAACCTGGGGTCTGGTGTGGCGGCTGGAGGCTGAGGAAGGTTGCAGAAAGAGAGAGAGAGAGAGAGCTGAGGACGTGGAGAGCACAAGATCCAAGAAGAGTGTGAATAAAGCTTGAGGGTTGTGCTGGGCTCTCGAGGTCACGGGACAGAGATAGCGAGGTCGGGCTTCCTGGAGCCAAAAACGTTACCCCCAAAGTAGGCATTCCGCGGGGAGAGAGCAAGACAAATCCGAACTCGGTGGGGACAGAAACGTGCAGCCTGTGTGTGTGTGTTCTCTTACAAGTCGCCCAGAAAGCCCGGGTAATGTCAGGCGAGGGGTACCCTTCATTTGAGATGTGGGCACCTGGATACAGAATCGTGAGGATGGGGAGGGAGGTCCACGCGGGGATCGATGCGCAGAAATGGAGGGAGATCCTGGACATGCTGGTGAGCAAAAGAGATGCACTGTAGTGAGTTGCACTCTTGTGCTGGGGGCAGCAAGGGACCACACAACGGACGGGAGACATAAGCTGTCCAGGTAGGACAGGAAAGCAAATAAAGCGCTTCAAGGAGATACTGAAACGAGGCATTCTCCTGGCTTTTACATTGATTTTTTTTTTAGTAGTGCCAAACTGATTAATATTTTGGGCTTAAGAGAGGAATATGTATCTGTACATTGCCTCGCAGCAATGTTTATGACTTTAGAGGAGGGGACGCTGAATTACCAAGATCTAAGTTCATGAAGGGAAAAGCAAGATTAAGCAAAAAGTTAACCATATAGTTAAGTACCGTAAGGAGCTACCAATGCTTGCTTTAATGGGTGAGGAGGTCTGAAATGCAAAAAGTTGGACAGTGAAGTGAAAGACCAGAAAAATGCACAGACTTAATAAGTACTTTCAGAGTAGAAGGGAACTTTGGCATTTGGGAGGAGCACGGAATGGGCAGGGGGGCGTTAAAAGAATGTGAGCGATACATTTTGATTTAAAAATGTACTTGGCACTTAAAAATCAGTTCAAGAGCCCATACTTTGAATATGGAAAAGTAATATGAAGTGTTTTTATGCATACATTTTCACCTCAGTGTCGTTTTAAGTACTTTTTTTGAGAAGCAAGCAATAAAATACCAGCAGCAGTATAATTTAGACTCAGAAGGAATAGCTAGCTGCTGCTGTGGGTAATGAACAGTATTTGAGATAAATGTATCAGGAAATAATTGTAACATTGTCAGTAGTAGGTGACTATTTGTTGTTTTGGTAGAATTTGCAAAAAGCCTTGGAGATATAAAGAGCAGTCTATCAAAGAGTATCAAACCCAATTGAAGTGCAACTAAAGTTGAAGAGGAGTTAAGTTTAATTACAGTCCTCAACTCAAGGGTAAAACTTACCCTTTACAGTTTTGAAGAGATAATCAAATTTATTTACTGTGATTTTACTAATGAATCCTGTATGATGGGAAAATATTCACTTTAAGTTTTGAAGGTTGGTCAATACACTTTTTACACTTTTTCTTTTGTTTGGATCCATTTAGCGGCATCCAGGGTCATTTTCTGGCCTCATTAATGATCCAGCTTTACAGAAAAAAAAAAAATGACTTAGAGAAATTGGGCAGGTTAAAATTGAAGTTTGTACTTATTCTTTGTTGAATGGCTATATTCTTAGACACATTATGGTGGGTTAGGATAATTTTAAGTTTTTATTTTTTCTCCTTGCCTAACATTGTTTTCATAATACCTGAAAGTGGTTTTCATAGACACAACCTTAATGATTTTAAAAAGAGAGTTATCGGAAGATGAGAGCCACAGCTAGAAAATAACCTGGTGGGTTGTTTTGTTTTGTGTATGATTTTTTTTTTTTTTTTTTTTTTTTTTTTTTTTTTTACAAGAAAGAAAATTTTAGCCTGGCCAGCATGGCTCAGTGGTTGAATGTCAACTTATGAACCAGGAGGTCACAGTTCAATTCTCTGTCAGAGAACATGCCCAGGTTGTGGGCTTGATTCCTGGTGTGGGGTGTGCTGGAGGCAGCTGATCGATGTTTCTATCTTATACTCTCTGTTCCTCTCTGAAATCAACACAATATCATTTTAAAAAAGAGAAAATTTAAATTCCAATAAATATGGATCAAACAAAATCATTCTAAAAAAATGAGCCGAGAAATACAAGACACTTGAATTTATTCTCCAGAGATGCAAAAATAAGGCAAATAAAATGTATTGCTTTATATCAGTTATCTTTTGGTTTAAAAAAATCTTGTAAAAGGCAGTACTAAAACAGATGTTGCCAGTTGGTAATCTTCCTTAGAAAAGGAAGGCAGGAGAAGGCATAGTTTAACAACCAGACTCAGTGCTCGGCACTTATATATGTGATATTTTTATTTAATCTTTCAAGAACACTATAGAAAGTCATTTTTATAAATGCAGGAACAGTCTGAAAGATTATATAACTTGACCACATAGCTAGTAAGTATTAGAACCAGTGTTGAAGCACAGGTTACATCTGATTTCAAGTCAAATGTATTCCCTTAATTATACCAGGCTGCTTGGGACTTTATATTAACACTAGTGGCCGGGTGCATGAAATTTGTGCACATTAAAAGAGAATTAATTAGAGGAAATATTTTAATATTGCTATTTGCCCTTTCTCTATAATAGAAGTGTCAGAGATGAAAGAAAATTGGTAAAATATATATGAAAATCTTCCTTCTGTCAGAGTCTGGGGCGCACTGCGGGACTCAGAGTCAAGTCCCTGACCACCCTTGAAATTGTGCAAGACTTAGACCTGGCTGGCCCCACCCCCATTGGGTGAGACCCAGACCCGGTTGGCCCACCCCCGTCAAGCCCCATTGGGTGGGGTGGGGGGGGCCAAAGCCTCAGGACCCCTGTCAAATCCTGCTGGGCAGGGGGTTCAACCTCAGGTCTCCTGCCCCAGAGCGAAGGGTGTGGCCTGTGGTCCCCTGGCCTAGCACCGGGATCGCGGGTGCACCTTGAGGTCCCCGGTCAAGCCCCACCAAGCAGGGGGTGTGCCTTGAGGACAACTGTCAAGCCCTGTCAGATGGGGGGTGCGCCTGAGGTCCCCCAGCTAGGTGTCAGGGTGGGGTTGTGGCCTCAGATCCCCTGGCCTCGAGCAAAGGTTATGGTCTGAGGTCCCCTGGCCTGGCACTGGGGTAAGGGGGTGCATCTTGAGGTCCCCTGGCCCAACACCTGCCGGGAAGCACACCTTGAGGTTCCCTGTCAAGCCCTGCTGGGTAGGGGGGGGGGTGGTCTGGGTCCCCAGTCAAGCCCCGATGGGCGAGGGTTGGGGGGGGTGGGCACTCAGCCTTAGGTCCCCTGCCCTGGCCCATCTCCTTGCATCCTCAGATCCCTGCTGATTGCTCCTTAAGGCTCATTACTGGGACTTGGCCTCTGCTGTGGTTATAGCCATCTTGTGTTATGGAAACCCCACCTCCGCTGTGGGTGCAGCCACCTTTGTGACAGTGTGATGATCAATTTGCATATTCACTCTATTAGATAGGATCATACTAAGTTTTAGCAATTTGAATAGAATTTTTTAAATGTAATGTCATATTAATTGCATTTATTGTGAAGAATGAATATCATTTTGAGAAAATCCAATTTCTGACACAAAGGAATTGGTTTAGTGTAATGTCTGGCTCTTGTTTATATCTGTATAATGAACATAATTATATTACCCGATGAAGCAACTGAAATAGCTTATTTCTGCTAAAGGAAAAAAAAAATGTGTGGTGGTTTTCTGTAAGTGTAAAATTACAATATTAAAAAGCATTTTTATTTTGGCATTAGAAAAACTATTAAACACTTTTGCTCTTAAAAGTAGTTTTTATTGTTTATTTTTTCTGTTGTGTTCTAAAAGATTCCAAAAGATTGTGTTGCCTGGTAGTGCTTTATGTACCTTGATTTAAGAGTATTTTGATGGCGAAACCCTAACAGAGCAATAAATATGCTCAAAATTTAGCTGTATTCATTGACTACTTGGGAAATTAACTATATAAACAGGAATTAATTAAAAAAAAACCAATATCACACAAATAGGTTTTTTTTTTTTTTTAACGAATATGGGATTATGATATACATGTTACCCTGTACTTTGCTTTTTTTCAGTTAATACCATAGACATCTTTCCAGGTTCGTACATACAAGTTTAACTTACTCATTTAGATAACTGTATAATATTGCATAGTTTACATGTATTATAAATTATTAAGCTGTTATGCCAATAATGAACATCAAGCGCCCAGCCTGTTTTTGCTTTTTTTATAATTTATTTTTTTGGTAACAATGTTACAAGAAGCATCCTTATATGTCCATTACCTTTTTGTGTGTTGATAGCATTTTCACTAGGATAAATTCTCTTGTCTATGGGATTGCTGGGACAGGATATATGTATTTTATAATATAAGAGATTTTAAAATTTGTTTTCCAAAAAACTAGTTTTCCAAAAAATTACAGTAATCTACACTGCTAAAACACACTCACAAACACTGAATACTGTAAGCATTTAATTTTTGTCAGTCTGAAGCTGTGAAATACGTTGTTCCATTAATTTACATTTCATCAACTTCTAATTAGGTTAAATGTTGTTTAGTTATGAGTTCATTTTCATTTTTCTATTGGGTAGTTTATCTTGCCAATTTTTAGGTTTTTGTTATAAGTGTTATAATTAGTAATCTTTTATCCGTCATATGTTTTACATCTGTTTTTTCCAAGTCTGTCATTTGCCCTTTGACTTATTGGTGCATTTTGCTTATAAAGAAATTATAACAATTACATAGTTTCTTATTCTTGTTTAAGAAGGCTTCCCCCAATCGAGATTATGTACATTTTCTATATTTTGTTACTGTATTTTATAATTTTTAGTTTTTTTTTTTTAACATTTTGCTCATTAAAGCATTCATATGTTTATAGAGATTTAT